GATGGTGAAGGAAAGCTCCTTGTAAAAAAAGTTTTCATAATCAAATAAGTTAGGAAAACTCTAGGTTTAAATGGAGTTCAAGAAATGCCATTAATGTAGGACATTTCTGAATTCTTAATATGCTGGCGGGCACGGTAAAGTCCCAAGAATGGGCATCCGGCACCAAGTTGACCGCATTCCCCTTTAAAACCACACCTCGTGAACCCCTTGTTCCAGGGTTATGTTGAATCATAGCTCGGTTCAAAATGAAATACCAATTTCTAGGTCTCAGATTACTGCTCCAGTTTCTCTCTCAGAACGAAATTGTGTGAACAGGAGCACAGCATCGTTCTGCATCACCAGTTTCACTCACTGTGCTCCGAACAGCGCCCGGCGTGACAGAAGCTCATCAGCAGTTGTTGAATGAAAGACAATCATTCAAAGTGTCTCTCCAGTCACTTCTCAAAATCCACTCCCACTAAGTCTCAAAAATGGGATCCATCTATCAAACCAACCACAAATCAAATTAAAACAATTTTCCTGTATATCCAAGGTCTTAATCCAATGGTTCTCTACTGTTAGTATGCGTTCAACTCATTTGGAGAATTAAAGATATACATTCCTGGGCCTAGCTTCCCTAATTTTCTGTCGTGGGTAAAGAAATGCAAATGTTTAACACCTTGAAGGACGCTAAGGAAGGGAACTGACTGTACTCTGAAAATCGCTATCCTAAAAAACAAAAAAGGTGGAGGGTGGGGTGGCAGGTGTGATCACTAAGGTGAAACACTTCTGGGAAGAATGGCCTTTTAGATCTCCTAGTATGTAAGAAGACAGACACAGGTTTGTTTGTTTTCCTGCTATCATCCCGGAAAACAAAATTAAGAAATATTGGTGAAAGTAACAAGAAGGTAGGTTGATGTTTAACAGCAGGATGGAGGCTCTCCCAACAATGGCACAGACTTCTTGGGTGTAATGACCTTCTCACCACTGTGATAGTCGAGAAGAGGCTGGATATGGTAGAAAAAACACGCACAGCCAATGGTGCTGTACATTAGGTTCACCTGCAGCCCTGAGATTCTGGGACAAGGGCTGAAAACCCAAACACCTTCCTACAGTGCAGGCCAGCCAGGTATAGGGGGCAGTAGTGAGCTGCAGAGAGTTTGCTCCTCAATAAAGGCCTTCCAAATTTAAAAAGAATCACCTCAGATGTAAAGGTCGGCAGGATCCACTCAGGGAAGCTCACAACTCCTGTTTTATGAATTAGTTAAAGTTAATAACTGCCTACTCAACTCTTGAATAAAGTGCAACCTGTCAGTCGGGGGAAGTGCATGTTCAGAAAATATTAAGTAAAGTTTAATTCTGAATGACTGAGGGAAATTCCTTGCCAGAGAAACCCTGGCTGGAGTGTGCATGTAGGCACATAAGTACTTATTTTTCATTATTATAACCAACCCAGCCATTCTGGCCCTCTCTTGGGGTTTCCCTAGCAGCTTTCCTCGATTGCGTTCAAGATCGCTTTTGAGATCACTTTCCTATTAGGACTTTGTTAGCCAAAGGTGACCTATTACTTTCCTGCTGCACACTGCATGCACACTGGGAGACTACTCTGACCCTAACGACATTCAGACGCAGTCACCAGAGACACTAGTGTCGGGACTTTGAGTAGAAGATGCTTCTCGTCCTACTCTCCTTCATCTCATGTCAGTTTTGTATTAAGAAGAGTTGCTCAGCTCTTCCGGCATATGGACTTCGATGAGTCTCTCCAACAAGCATGTTAGAAGCCTGTTGTTTTTCTCCCAAACTCTTGAATCATTCACTAGCCTGAATCCATCTCAGCGGTTACTAATTAACTTTAGAGAAAGTACTAACCTCTGGTTTAGCCAAAGAAGCCAGACAATGTCTGTGCGTTCCAGGAAGGATGAAGAAATTCTTCCTCCCAGCATTAAGTACTTCCCTCCATCCCCGTTTCTCAGTGTCCCCAGTGAAGGGTCCCCTCAATGTGGGGCCTCATGTGATCTCCCAGCGCTCACTGTTGCTATTTGATAGTTTCATAAGCAGATCAGTGCCCTGTTAGAGATTCAAAGCCATAATATTAAGTTGCAAAGGTGCTTTTGTTCAGAATTCCTGTTTCTATTCACTGAGAGAGGAAAACCCACCACAGTTTAGGCTGAAAATATTTATATCATTTCTTCTTGTCCATGTATGATATAGATAGATCACCAAAAAGAACATACAAATGGCCAAAAGGCATAAGAAATAACACCCAACTTCAAAACATCAGGACAATACAAACTAAGCCCACAACCACTTTACACCCGTCAATCCAAGCAGCTCAAATGGAAAGAAACAGTAACAAGAGTTGGCGAGGATGTGGAGCAACTGGAACTCTCACACACTGCTGCTGAGAGTGTAAGTTAGTACAACCACTCTGAAAAGCTATTTGGCAGAATTGACTAAAACTGAATATACACATAACCTGTGACCCAGAACCTTCATTCTTAGGTATGTCCCCAACAGAACACAACCGTAAGTTCACCAAAAGGCATGCACAAGACTGGCGAGCAGCACTCTTCGTAATGGCCCCAAACTGGAAGCAATTGGAATGTCCACCAATAATTAAATAGGAACATTGTGAAATATTCATACAGGGAAATACTATGATTCTACCTATGCAAAATATTAAAACAGGCAAAATTAAGCAATGTCATAAGTTAGAAGAGTGGTGACCTAGGGTGGGTAGTGACTGGGAAGGGGACATGGGGATGTGGTGGGGCAATGGTAATGTCTTCTTTGAGCTGGTTGGTGGCTACACCAGTGTGAGCTTTCTGACAATGCATTAAGCTGTGTGATTTTTGTATTTTTCTGTGCATACCCTATATTTCGATACAAGGTTACAAAAGTTCATACAGAGTGGTGTCTCAGCTTCCTGAGCCACAACCATTTCTTGGTTGTAGCTCTGTCCTCCCTCTTGTTCTGTTTTCTTGTTGAGTAGAGTCTGGGTGTACGTGTTTTGTAGGGCCATGGGGAGGTGGGTGATGCAATGAGATAAGCTCGATCCTCTCCCTGCCCCCTGCCTCATGCCCCGTGGGTCCTGACAGGACCAGCAAAGGAATAATCAGAGGCAGATGCCTGGAGATGGCAGTGGTCTTAGAAGTCATTTTACATGTTTCAGGAGAGGAAACCGAGGCCTATAGAAATGAAGCTAATAAAGAATATGTCAAACAGTGGGACAGAATCTCAGTTTTATGATTCCACTTTATATCAGCCTTATACATCGGTGGAAGTCATGGACAATTACCTCCTTTACATCCATCTCAAAGATGGAAATTAACTTGCCTCATTCTTATGTGTTAAGTGATCATTTGCTCTCTGTTCAAAAGAAAATCTCCTCCTTAGGAGAAATAACGCAACAACTGTTAATATGAGACAACTGATCGGATTTCCTATTTCTGCAGAGAGTGGGATCCTAAGAGAGCTAAACAGGAGGAGACCGAGTTTTGCAGGAACTAGAACACATATACAGCAATCATGCCCTTCTAAAACAGCTATAGCACTTCCCATAAAAGAAGTACTTACTCCCCACAGCATCATCTAAACTCTCATTATCCCCCTTTTAGAGATGAGGAAACTGAGATGCAGAGATTAGTAACTTGCCCAAGGCTCTACCTGTAAGTCCTGGTGTGAGAATGACCCTGGCCAGCTGCACCTACCCACTGTGTTCTGTTTAAGCCACCTTGGTGGGGTGCCTATACTCCTTCTGAAAACATTAGGTCACTGGGATAGACAGAAGACAGGAAAATAGGAACAATGTCCCCAAAAGAGCAGGAGACTCATGACAACAGAAGAAAAACCAAGAGATACTCATGTGTGTGCAGTTGCTCACGTGTGTGTGGCCATGTTATAATACATAGCTGGTCAGACAGCCGCACCGATCCTTTCAGTGGGCCAAGCTTAGCTGGGAATGGTCAAATCTTTGTTTCACTCTGTACTTTCAAAACTACACCCAAGAAAATCATAACTCTGATGAAAGATTTTTGCTAAATTTCAAGCCACGATATGGAGGGGAAAAGGTTAAACAGTAAAGTTTTAATTAGAAAGGAACATGGGGGTCCTCTTTTGCCGGCAGCCAAGCCACTCTGGCTTTGTGTTGTGATGCATCAATATCATGTGCATTGCTAACCACATACTCAACTGAGCTTTCCCACAGTCTCCTCCTAGTCATCCCAGAGTGGGACCATCATGTGCCTCAACACACACTCACTCACACGCACATACACCTGTCTGTGCAAGGCACTTCTCAATTGCTGCACAGAACGAGATCAATCTCAAATGCCACTGGCTGCCTCACGTATTTGATTGACTTCTGAGACAAGTATCATTTACACCAGTGTTCTTGGCCCGGAGCTCAACAGATGAGGAACACACAGAGGGGAAAGAACACTTGTCCCCGGTTCCTCTAAGTGTTCTGCTTCCCTGGATGGCACCCTGAATGCTGCCAGCCTGCAAACACACCACACTCCAAAAGGACGTCGTACATGAGCAGGACAACACGAACAGATCAGTTCAAAGAAAACAAAAAGCCTCCCTTCTCCAGTGAAGGTTGGGCTTAACAGGGCTGCTGACTGCAATTTTGCCATGAAATACAGTTTTCCCATTTCAAAGCAACGTAGAGGCATGCAGCTTGTGAGATTTATATAATGCCTGGTCTCTCAGGACTTTACAATGCGAATGACATCCATCAAATTAATTTCCTTGGGGATCGTCTCAAACATGGAGAATGAAGAGGCCCAGACCATTAAACATCAAAAGAATGTTCTAAATGGTAGTTAAAGTTCTATTATATTTTCTTTTTCTGGGAGCAGATTAGATTAATTCAATTGAGAATATTATACGTATCAAAGCTGACAGTGTGAATGGGTCGAGTTGGCTGGAAGAGCACTTAATATTGCAGACATCTGTTCATCCGAGTTACACCAAGGGCACGCCCAAGAGGGAGGTGCCTCAAAGAGCAGGGTACTTACCAAGCCAGCACAAGTAGACACAGCGACGGAGGAGGAGCTGTCATTTCGGATAAATCCCTGATAGAAACATTGCTGCACCCTGGGTCCCCGAGTCTCTGAAGCACCATCTTTTCCAAGTACCTGGACAATAAAGTGACTGCTCAAAATCGCCGAGGGCTTAAGTTCTAAATGGAGTTCCTGTCCAAATGCTGAAAATCGGTAATGCAGGGAGCTGCTGGCACCCAGCGCGGATCGCTTTCTCCTGCCGCTGTGCAAAATGTCGTGTGAAATGTAAGACCCGCCCGAGTCCACTTCTACCGGTGTGACAAAGACGTAATCTGTAAGGGGAAAGGTTTGGCTGTCAGCACCCCGGGCCCACAATGCCAGCCAGTCACGCCCAACGGGCTGGCAGAGTGACGCTCAGCTCAAGGGCATCTTTGTTCCCACGGCTACCAGGCGAGTAGGTGAAATGCAATTCGGAGCAGCTCACGAGGAGCAGAAGCCCGTGGCCTTTACTGTGAGCTCTGCCTCAGTAATTCCTACAAAAGCTGAAAGTCAAGCACAATCTTGACGAATGTCAAGAATGTTTACGGAAAAGGCCCCAAACTCTCCCGGTCTGGGGGGAGACAGATGGACTCTTCATATATCAGCCATAGAGCCACTCATTCCTAAAAATTTATTTTTGGGGAGACAAAGTTAATAAATATAAAATTACCAAAGTAAAGACATGAAGTTTTTAAAAGGAGATGACTATCTTTAGGTTTAACCTGAACTGGGAACATTTTGGGTGAGGGGCAGAATTTAAATTTCAAATGGTAACTCACAGTGCTGAATAACTTGAGAGGATTCCTCAGAAAATTAACAAGTAAGTGCAGTTTCCTATTTCCAATATTAATGATATGTGACAATAAAACTGAGGAACTTGTAGCACTCTTAACCTTTTACCACGGGCTTTCACAGGGACAGCCCCACTCAAATGCAAGCACAAAATATAGTGGATGCGTAAAAATGCCTCGACATTGTCAGAACTTTCGCCACACCGTCTGATGTTTAAAATTGCTCAGACATGTTGCCAGATCAGGGACACCTGGAGAGGCATGTTTAGAAATACCTTCGCCACGGCTCCCCAGAGCAGCGCTAATTGCTGCTTGTTCCAGAGGGGAGGAGCTACGAAACCATTTGCTGCCTGAAAGAATGAAGCCAGCTCGCTGCTTTCTATCACAAAACATTGAAGCTGAAAAGTGTCATCCCCCAAAAATGATCTGGAATATGCCCTTGGTGCATTGAAAAGTGCTCTGCATTTCCACTTTCGAGGCACAGAGTGGGGGACGAATTGGGAAAGTGTTCAGAAAGATTCTGAACAACGAAGAGGCGTGTTCGAGTCGCTGGGGCCCTTCGTTACAGGAGAAGAAAAAGAAAGAGGAATTTCTCTTTTCCCAAAACAGTCAACCAAAAAATTAAAATGAAGATGAAGAAGCCCTGTAACTAACAGGGGATCAATAAGTATTACTACCTTTACAAAAAAAAATCCCAGTATGACAATTTTAAGATGTTTTCCCCTGTATGACCATCTGCGACTCTTGCTGCCTGAGCATCTCTCGTTCCTGCAGTATCTGTATGTCCTGCCTCTCTCACTCTCTCTTCCACCCCTTCGGCTGGAAATGCCATTGAATTAAAGTACATATGGAAAAACTGGGAAACAAAAGTTTGTCTCCTCGCTTAACCTCAAGAAACAGCAGGTGTATACTATCTTCTTCTAAAAACCCTCAGCATGATGCTTTACAGGTATATGGCTTTTGATTAACTGCAGCTTTTCCTTAGTGAAAGACCACTTTCTCCCTTATTAAAAACTGTGAAAACCATCCCTGACACATGCAACAGAGCCTCTCAATAAGTTGTTTCTTACCTCCGTGTCCAGAACCATCTGAAACTAGGCTCCTGGCTGGGAGGCCATGCGGGAGTCTTAACCAGCAGCTTGAATGGTATCAGCCCGAAAAGCCAACACCTGCCCCCCAGCCCCATCAGCCCAGACACCTGCTACTAGCTTGTTTCCCAGGGGAGAATGAGCGGGCTGATGGCGATCTTTAGTCCTTGAAGGGAAGAGGGTCAGCGTAGAGAAGGATCTGGGCAGTCAGCTCAGGGGCTGACTGAAGATGAGGTTCTTACAAGGTGGTGGCTGGAACAGAGGGGGCCTGCAGCCGTTTGACCCCGATGGGACAATGGGAGGTTGTTTCAGAAACTGCAGCCAGCCTGTCCGGTTGGACAAAAGGTAAATTTCTCAAGAGCTAATTCCTGGCTCTTTCCTGTTCCCCCACTCACCCACTCCCTGGCACAGCTCCTCTCCAAGCTTCTGCCATGCCCGCCCCGAAAGGAGGAGAAACCCTGCAAGGCTAAAAAGGAGAGGATCCACACCAAGGTCTTGCTAGACACCTTGGGTCAAGCATCAGCTGCTCTGTAGCTGGTGGGAACAAGGAAACAAGGATTTTCCTTCTGGGGACCGTCAAGAAGCTAATAAATGACAGAAGCGAAGGGTGTGCTGGAGGTTTCCTGCTGTGGAACCTCGGAAGAGACAAAGGTCCCAGAGACCTCAAGCTATCTTCTCTCCTCTCTCTGACAGTGGTCTTCGGGAATCCGAGACACAGGGCAGAGACTCGGGGGGAAGAGAGGAAAGGAGGACAAGGAGCAGGAGTGGGGAGGAGAGCGGGGAGGGTGAAAAGCGTTCTTACTCTTTCATCCCTCACACAGGATTAGCTCCTGCCCGCTTTCTCAGAGGAGGAAGGGAAGGAGGAAGGTGCCTTTTGATATCAACCGCCTAGTCAACGTCCACTCCCTTTCTAATTTCTCACTGCAGTACGATGTGATTTTTAAACAAGCCATCTGCGAACAAGGGAAAGTATTGTTTTCTCATTTATGTGCCTTGAAGCTTGAGGCATTGATTCTTTTGATAAGTTCAGAGCCCTTGCCATATACCCCCCTCTCCAAACAGGAACCATTTCCAAGACGCACGCACACCTGCAACTTTGGGGCCGGGGGTGGGGGGTGGGGAACGAGCTTTTCTACCTTTTCCCTCTTTGCGGAGGGGGGGGGGAAGGAAGGGATAAAGTGCCCAGGCAGACCCTTTTGAGGGTGGGGGGTCCAATACGAACCGTCGTTTAATCCGCTGCCGCCGCTGCTGCTGTCACTGGCTAAGACCGAGGCGACCGACGCACAGCAGAGGCAGCACAGCTGGAGCGCCTGCAAGAGAAAAGGTGACACCGTGCGTGAGGGGCGCGGCGGGGCTTGCACCAGGCGCCCCCAGCCACCCACTCTCGGCGCGCCCCTCGGCGGGCACCTGCCTTGGCCACACGCCCCAGTCCCGCCGGAGCCCACGGCGGGCCCGAGCCGGCGGCGGGGAGAGCGCACGCGAGCAGGAGGGCGCACTCCATGGTCAGGTGCGGGTGCGGCGGCTGCGGACGGCGCGCATTCTCCCCGCCGCCCCGGAGCGAGGCGCTCCAGGTGCGGCGCCAGGTGGGAGCCGCCGACGCTCACATCGCGGGCCCGGCGCGCCGAGGCCTCCCCACCTCCGACCGCCTGCGCGCCCTCCTTCTGCCGGCGCCGGCTGCGGAGCTGCCGCCTGCGGCTCCCCGCGGGGCACAGGGGGCTCCCCGGGCCCGGGCTGGCGCGCGCCTCAGAGCGCAAACGGCCGGGGGACTTTGTCCGTGCCTGCCCGCGCGCTTGCCCGCCAGTCTGTGTGTCTGTCTGGGTCTGTGCGAGCGTCTGAGGCTCCCGGGGAAAGCAGCGCCAGCTGGCTCCCCCAGCTCGCCGGAGCCGAGCGCCCGCCTCTCCAGCGCACGGTGATTGGCGACCAGCGGCTCCTGGGCCCGTCCGAGCCCCCGGGCTGGTGCAAGGGCGTGGGATTCCCGGCTCCCACTCCGAGGGAGGGGGCGAAGAGGGAGGGGAGGCTGGGTAAGCTTGAGGGGGAGGGAGGGACCCACCGCCGAGAGAGAGAGGGAGCGTAGCGCCCTGGGTCAGGCTTGGAAAACGTAATTTAAGCGCAGGAAGAGATGAGCCGAGTAAGGGGGAGGCTCAGGTAAGTGGCCCGACTTCTTTGCTGCCTGTGCAGACCTCTCTTTTAAGTCTTCTGGGTGGCGAGACAGTCAAGGTATTGAGCGTTCTCAACACCTCCCAAGTGCCAGGTGCTATCCCCTGCTTTATCTCATTCACCTTGGGCCCTGCCCTTGCGAAGGCGGGAATCATTCACCCCTCGGTGAAGATGAAGAAAGTGGACTCGGGTGGGCTCCACTTAGCCTACCATAAATAATTCTGAAACTCGAAAATCCAGGGCGACCTAGAGGGCTGGAGCTGTGAGCCTCGTCCCCGTCTGCAGCGCGGCGGAAGGAGACTAGAGTGAGCACACGACAGATGTCTTCTCGTCAAGTTATGCACCTGAACTTTACATGTCACTAACCAGGGCTGTCCCAATACATTTGAAAGAAAAATAAAACACACGGCCAGTGGGCAGCGGCCTCGCCTCTTCTCCTGGATCTTTCTGTCTTCCCCAGGTGGCTGTGCTTCCAAGTCCTAAAGACTGAGTGCTGGCCCCAGACCCCCGTTCTGCAGAAATCAGCCGTAACAAACAGCATGGCCCTCACCACGGACACACATCCCACGTGCTGCGTCCCTGTTCATTTACTCAGTGCCTCTGATCCCTACTGTCTGCAGGGCTAAACAGAGTATATTCTCACAGGCTAGTGGGAAAGACTCTCATCGGATAACTCAGCAACAATACTAAAACCTAAATGATCACAAACACTCCGAAGGAAAAGCATAGGCTACTAAACCAGGAAGAGTAACAGTGGAATCCAATGTAGTTGGGGGGGGGGGAGGGGGCCAGCAGGGGCGTGGAGAAAAGGAGTGTGTGAGAGCGTAAGAGCTGGCTTTTCAAAGGAGCCCAGACAGAGTGGGTCAGCTTTATAAGGAGAAAAGGAGAAAGATCCCTGGTGCCAGGAGAGGGGGCACCGCATAGGTGAAGGTGTTGAAACAGGAAAAGGGCTTTGCTGTCACGGAAAAGCTACAGGCAGGAGCGAGAGTCAGGACAGGTTCAGGTAAACAGGACCTTGTAGACTGGGGTGAAGCAGGTGGGAGTTAGATTTAAGGTGCATGTGTGTGCGTGTGTGTGTGTGTGTGTGTGTGTGTGTGAGAGAGAGAGAGAGAGAGAGACAGGCAACCTGTCTGCAATGAAAACGATGTGGATTGTGTGTGGGGATACGGATTGCAGGTGCTAAGCAGAGGGGGCTAGCAGGGAAGCTATTGCTAGAACCACGGTGAGCGGCGCTGGTACCCCAGACCAGGGTGGTGGCAGGGGAGTGGGCATATACCCTGCTCCGGTTTTAAGGACACAGAGGTGGTTAAGATGAGGTCACAGCTTAGAGCAAGTGACAGACCCCAGTGCACAGTCTGTTTCCTTGGCTGCAGCAGTAAAGAGGCAAAGCTGGACTGTGGAGGCAGAAAAGGTGTCACAACTTCTGCCCGGGGCAAAGCTTTTTAGAATAACCTCAGGGGAGGAAGGCCAGGTTAAACAAAACCCTTAGCTTTGCCTATGTAATCTGTGTAAGCTTGGTGACCTCTATGTTATGATCTGTAAAATAGGAATAAAAGTAATACATCAAAAGAATATCCCAAGGATTGAATAAGCGTATTATACTTTTCTGAGCTGTATAAGTGGGATTGCAAAGTCAGAAGAGAGGACACCTGCACTTCTGTTACTTTGCAGATCTTATGTCAAACTTTAATGTGCGCAGAAATCACCTGCGCCGCTGGCTGAAAATGCAGACCCCTGAACCGTGAGCCATGGAAATTCTGATGCCGTCGGTTTGGTGCAGGCCCCAAATGTGCATTTGTAGCAACACCTGTGGGTGATTCTGACAGAGGTGACAACAGTGCTTTATGTAATTCCAATAAATAACTGGACACTAAGGGAAACTGGACGTTAAGGGCATGCAGCAAAGACAATGCTTAAAGTCATGTCACCAAGCAACAGATGAGATTTTTAAAAAGGAGACTGGGGCAGAGAGCACTGAGTGATACTGCTGGATAAACACTGAAGGAAGTGGGAGGGGTGGATGGTCTGTTCACCGGCCCCTGAGAGTAGCCATGTCCTTCATTTGCATCTCTCCACTGAGATATGTTTGTATGAAGTCATCCCTACCCCTTGGGTCTCCGTGTTGTGCAGCCGGTAATAGAGGTCACTCGCCATGGTGAGGTCCAGAGTCTCAGAGACCCACTCTCACCATGCTCTGTGTCAGACCGTGGTGATTTTCAACCTCAAGCACCAATGACATTTGGGGCTGGATTATTCCTTGTGCCGGGGCTGTCCTGTGCCTTGTAGGATGTTTAGCAGCATCTCTTGCCTGTCCCTTCCAGATGCTAGTAGCAACCCCACAACTGCAACAAAACGTGACGTGGCCCGATGTCCCAGAGAGCAAAATCACCCCTGGTGAGAGCCTGGATGAACAGTGTGGATTCTAGTCCTATTGTGTGGTCTTTCTCTCCATCAACCTGGAGCCTCACAGCCTCTCATTCAACTGAATAAACATGTGTTGAGTGCTAACGCTTTGAGGGACTGGCAGCCTCCTCTGAACCTAATGGTATAAGAGCTCCAACCCCATGGAGCCCCATTTTGCGGCTCATCTGCCATCAGTAAACCTCTGCACTTGGTAGATCCCAGCCCTCCATGGTTTGGTAGAGAAACCAAGATCCACCTAGTAGATCTAGAGATCAAAACTTCCTGTTCCATTCATCTGCAGATGAGCAGGTCTAATTTCTTCTACAGGACCCATGCACAAGCACCGCAAAGCCATCACTTCTGGAATGATTTCAAACCTGCAAGATTGCAGGAACTGGCCCTGCAATATGTATAAATTGTCTCTAGATGGTGACAGAGAGTCATGAGCAAGTGGTCCAGTCTTTCAGTTACGAATGACAAATTCTAAGTTACTTGGAGATATAAATCGTAGCTGATTTTAAAACTATAAATCTAGGACACTGTGAAGAAGAGCTAAAGTTCACAGCAATCTGTCTTAGTCTGTGCAGGCTGCTATAACAAATACTAGAGACTGGGGGCCATATAAATAACAGAAAGGTATTTTTCACCGTTCTGCAGGCTGGGAATTCCAACAGCAAGGCTCCTGCAGGTCGCTGTGAGGTGAGAGCCTGCTTCCTGGCCCATGGACAACCTCCTTCTCACTGTGTCCTCACATGGTGGAAGGTGCCAGGACACTCACCCTCTGAGGTCTCTTTTATAAGGTCCCATTCACGAGGACTCAGCCCCAAATACCATCACATTGGGGACTATGTTTCAACATACCAACTGGGGGGAGGAGCACAAATATTCCATCCATTGCATAAACCAATGAGGAAAAAAAATCCTGTTGTACTCCACTCTGTCAAACATGGCCCAGAGCCTGGCACACAGCAGGCATTTGGTAAATATTTATTGGAAAGAAGGAAGGGAGGGGGAGGGGAGGGAGGAAAGGGAAGGAAGGAAATGGGAAATTGAGAGAGATCACACGATTCATTCTTAACTACGTAAAAAGAGATTTCCCTTTCCCCCTCTAAAATCAATGGTATATTGGTTTTTCTTCTTTTTATACTGACATAAGTTTCACCTTTTTTCTTTTCAAAATAATATGCCTTAAGTTAAATACATCCTCCTGGCCACAGCGAGAAATAAACGCCAATTCCCCTGTTCCTCATTCCCCTCTTCCCTTGGTCTCTGCTCCGTGAAGATGCAGGCATCTCCTCCACGGAGAGTAAGCAGCGCCCAGCCCCTCTCCCACCTGGGCTGAGGGTCCGTGCTGCAGCAGCCAGCCTCCGTGCTCTCCGCTCCTCCCCACGTGGGGAGCAGAGGGCGCTGCCTTTGCTCTGCTGGATTAACGCTGCACGGAACAGCGTGTCAAATCTTATTCAGCCGACTCCTGACAGTGTCCCCTAGGAATCAGTTTCACGACCAAAGAGAAAGATAGCCAAAGCCACGCATCCAAACCTAGCGCGGGGAAAATAGAAACAGAAGACAAGGCTTCACTTATTTCAACACAGGAGCCAAGAGGGAACAGTACAGAGGAGGAAAGGTGCCCTGTCCTCGAAGCCCTGAGAAGGCCGGGCTGCCTCAGCAGCAGGTGCAGTTAGCA